TGAAATCACATTTAAAAATTATACAAGGGGTCACTGGTTAGGAGCTAAAGTAGGAATAGTTCGTTTTGCTTCAGCAGTGACATCAAGGCCAGCCAACTGCAACACCACGTCCTCACTTCAGACGTGACTGAGATCAGCTAATTTGTCTCTGTCTTACGCCAAATTCACCATGCATTGCACTTGAATTTTTTTTTAACCCTGCAGTAGTTTCTGTTCCACTTAAAGTACATCTTTGTAATGAATACAGACACCAGAGATTGCACGAGTCCAGTTGTCAAGAACTACAATTGATACATGTAACAAACAGCAAAAGGAAAATTAACATTTAAGTTTCATTTGCAAGCAATTAATGGACACTGTCGAGGGCCACAGGATTTCTCAGTTAAAATACACCAAACCAAAATGAAATGGAAATTACAGCAGACTTTGTAGGAGAATGAAATGAAGTCCTTTCCAACGCTGTTTGGGATTGTTCTCACCATAAATGCTTTATCATTGAAACTGATTCCATGCCACTCACTCACAGCCACTGCACCCTAATCAACACCAAGTCAAGTATGGGACTTCATTTCCTCTCTAGCATTGATCTCTATACCTCCCTGTTTCAGCTCACATGCTGTTGAAGCCTTTTTCCAGGCCCTTGTAAACATCAGACTTGAACTCTTCCAATACACTCTGCCCTCCACTGTCTTCAGCTCAGCCAAAGCTCTGCTAGTCATGTTCAGCTCTTATCAAGGCCCACTTGTCCAGCAGCCCTGTGTTCATTGACCTACAGCAAACACCCTCAAAGCCTCCAGTTTAAAAACTTGCACACACCAAGCACTCTACCTCCCTCAGTCTAAAAATCCTCATCAAAACATCACTCTGCTTTAGTTCTGGCCTTATTTGAATTTCATCCCTCACATCTGCCCCACAATCAGTATAATTTGCACCTGATACCACTTTAACAATGTCTCAACTTCTTTCAGATTCTCCCAAATGCCACCTTTGACCACTTCATCCCAAATCCCCATGTAGCTTTTAAAGATAATTCAGTCCTAACACGTCATCACTAGTTGGGACAGCATTTATTGCGCATCCCTAATTATCCTTGAACCGACTGGTTTGCTAGGTTATTTCAGAGGGCAGTTGAGAGCCAATTAAATTGCTGTCAAGTCTGAAGTCACGTATGGGCCAGATGGCAGATTTCCTTCCCTAAACGACATCAGTGAGCCCTTTGGGTTTTTATAACAATGGTTACGTGCTCGCCATTAGACTTGCTTTTAATCCCAAATCTAAACTACTTGACCTGTTCCCAGAAATGAAAACAGTGCTGGAGAAACTGTGGAGAGAGAAACAGAATTAATGTTTTGAATCCAACAGGACTCTTCCATGTTCCCAAAATGAGTCTGGTCTCTGGATTACAGTGCAGTGAAATTACCACTAGCCCACTGCCTACCCAGCTTAGGAAGCTCAGACTCTATTTTTCTCAAATTGTCTCTCTACAAGACAGCTTGAAGGCATTTTCTATACTGAATATATAAATGCATATCATATTTGTTGAAACAACATTAATTCAGCTGGGATGTGTGCGTGTACAAAAGTTTTTGATGAGTTTTCCTATCTTTATTCCTTTCCCTGGGTTAAACGCAATGAGCTTAAAAGGAATCCAGTCAAGGTGGACTGAAAACCATGACTGGAAGGTAAAACAGAAGTAGTAATGGAGGGCCTTCATGATTGTTCAGATACAGAGGAAAAAGTAGTTATTCTAAAGTTTATAAATCACTGGTTAAACCTTGGCTAGAACATGATGTCCAAGTCTGAACATCACCGATTAGAAAAGCCTCAGGGAAGGTGCAGAGGTGGTTATTAAAATATTAGGGATTAGGGATGAGGGAATTCAGTTACGTAGAGAAACTAGTAGTAGTTCAACTGTTGACCGTACAGAGAGGATTAAGGAAGAATTTAATAGAGGTATTCATAATGATAAAGGGTTTTGATGGATTAGACAGGAAAAAACAGTTCCAATGGCAGGTGGTCAAGAACCTGAGGACATTGGTGATAGGTGACAAAACCAGAGGAGAATTATTTCTCTGAAATAAATAATCTTTGGAACATGCTACATGAAAGGATGGTAAAGCAGATTCACATAGGTATAGTTGAAAGAAAAAAAAACTCTGTAGGAGTATGGAGAAAGAGCCAGAAGTGTGAGAATAATTGGAGAACTCAAACAGCCAGGAAATACAAAAATGGGCTGAATGGTCTCTTTCTGTGCTGTCATTCTTTGACTATGTCAGACACCCATTTGAGGTTTGTATTTTCTTCTGTTAACATTTTCTACTCTCTCTTCCTGAAGACACTTGGACAGATTTCTGGAGGCACCAACAGCTCATTGATCCCACGTCCGAGGGCTGTTTACATAGGAAGAGCGATAACAACCCAGCTGATAAGATATCATGGACGAATAACTTCAAAGTCAGGTCTCACCCAAGGTGCATTTCCAAGCAACGAACAGAAATGAGCTGATGTTCTCTCTCCACAGCCATTCTCCTGACTAATCTCCAAGGTAGGAAAGCCAAATGTAACGTCACAACCATACCCCAAATTAGCCAACGGCACAGACCTAAAATTGTGCTTGTTTTATGGGGTGTACAATTCAGTACCACATAATGTGGTGCATTTGACTTGTAATCAGAAGCAGCTTGATAAGGTTTGCTTGTACTCCCATTTACTAAACCAAACTTCCCATATTCTCTTAATGAAATGAGAACAAACTGATGGCCAGAGATTAAAATGGCACTGGATAAATTCTTGATATTAATAAAGAAAATTAAAGGTGACTTACAGGATCCGTCAGCATTGCTCGGGAGTGAGAAGCCAAAGCAAGGAAAGCTAGTGTATTGAATATAATCCCATTAATGATACTGTACAATAAGTCTTTTGCTGGGACTAGCATTACAAAAACAACAACAAATTCTGCGTAGAAAATCAGCATCCAGGTCACGATGGCACAGGCCAGACCACAGCCATCTTTGATGAACCAGATCCTATCCATGGAGTTATCACTGGAAGGTGGCAAACACTGGTCAGCTTGCAGGTACTCGGCTCGCCGCTCAATATCCCTGTTGCGATTAGTGGATAACATGATCTAATAAGTAGTCCATAATTAAACCTGTTTAAGCAGAAAAGAAAGCACTTTCAATTTTTGTTTTTTAAAAATTATGATCTTAAAAAACACATGACACATTGATCCTGACGATACCTTAGTATAAACATTATTGGCGCCGAACAGCATTACAAGTCACTTTTTTTATACAAAGCTACCCAATACGAGGTATGGTACAGGTTCAGTCACCAATATGTACTCCTAACAGCATCAGCTCTGTCTCAGAAAGAAAAGGGCAAAAATTAAATTACCTTGGACAAAGAACTTCAGTGACATGGATTTTTTTCTTTTATTCTGATATGGGGTGCGAGAGTTGCTGGTAAGGCCAGCATTTAGTCCCCATAAAAACCAAAAGAACTACGGATGCTGTAAATCAGGAACAGAAACAAAGTTGCTGGAAAAGCTCAGCAGGTCTAGCAGCATCTGTGAAAGAAAAAACAGTTAACGTTTTGGGTCCGGTGACCCTTCCTCAGAACTCCTGACCTGGACCCGAAACATTAACTCTTTTTTCCTTCACAGTTGCTGCCAGACCTGCTGAGCTTTTCCAGCAACTTTGTTTTTGTTCCTGATTTATTCCCCATCCCTAGTTGCCCTTTCAATAGTCAAGCATTCCACTGAGCTCAAGGACAATGAGAGACAGGAAACACTTTCCAGTCTTGTTAGACACATACATGCACACATACATTCCTTAACGCACATGTATCACATACCTGTCTTAAATCATCACACAAGAGGTCAGTTGGCTAGACGGCTGGTTTGCAATGCAAGAGTGATGCCAACAGCTTGGGTTCAGTTCCTGAACTGGCTCAGGTTACTATGAATGATTCACCTTCTCAACCTCTCCCCTTGCCTGGGATATAGTGAGCCCCCTCTAAAGCTTAGGTTAAACCACTACCAGTCGACTGTCTCTAATGAGACAACGTGACTACGGTCTGGTAAGACTACGGCAATTTTACCTTCATTACTACGACAAGAAAGAAATAACATGCGTATGTACATATTCTATACACAGAGATCATACTCATGTATCGTAGAAACTACGGGGAGTTCACTCATTCATTCCAGGAAGTTACCTTCAACAGAAGAACAAGAATAAGCAAGAAACCACCCAGCGGGACAGAACTTGAGTGGTCATCATGAGTACAGGACAAAAAGCTTTGACAGATGCCTTCCCCCGCCCCGAATACGGAAAATCGAAGGGAGGGTGAACTCAAGAAGACTGATATAAAAGTTGAGTAAAGCCCGGTGGGTGTAAGGGTGAATGTGAGGAAACACTCACCCGTTAACAACCTTGGCTGCTCCTCGAGTCGATCCTTCCCCCCGAAGGATCCCCCGCCCCACATACAGCAGGCGGTCGACCGGAGGGAGGACCCTCAGGCAGACACTGAGGAGGAGCCGCCGCCGCCGTCGTCACTCCGAGCCTCAGGCTTCATGAACACCGACAGCAAGGCCCAGCCTCCCCAGAGACGGGGGAAGCGAACTCCAGCCGAACCCGGGGGAGACACTCACAGCCGCCCCGCGCTCTGTGTGACTCACTCCTCCGCCTCGCCGCCACCTGCCCCTCACGAACCGCGGCCGCCCGTTACCGTGGACGCTGAACGGAGGGCGAGGGACCGGAAACGGAAGTCGTGCCCCGATTTTTTCGGGGGAAAAGGAGGGACCGGGAATTGACGTAAACTTCCGGCCCATCTCAACGTCACAAAAAGAGGTCACCAACCGCCTCGTAAACAACAACAACAACATTACACTGGGCAGCGTTCTAATTCATTTTTTAATGCAGTCCCTGGCAGAGTTGGGTTCGTGCCGATCCTTATCGACCGGCTTAAGTTTTAAGCAATATTTCTATGACTGGGGAAATGACGGTTGGTCGGCCGACGAGGGTGTGGTGTCGGCGCTTGCGGGTCGCACGCTGATGACGTGATTGGAAGATGGCCGCAGTGGTGCTGAGCGAGGCGGAGAAGGTCTATTTGATGCACGGAGTGCAGGTAGGAGTCTGCCCTTGTACCTGGGCGGAGGGTTCACCTCCAGTCGGCTCGGCCACTTACCAATAGCCTAAACAAACTGGAACTCTGATCTCCCGGCCCTTCTTGTCTCCTTTCACCTTAAATATTAGCAGCGCCTCTGGTCCACCCTGTCTCCACCGTCTCTTCAACCGAGCATCATTACCTAGGGCTAGTTCTCCTGCCTCCACACCCTGCCCCAGGGCCTTGTACGATATTTCTATTCAAAAAGTCGTGCAGTGCCAACCCGAGTGACTCACGTGGTCCTTCCCCCATCACGTTCCCAGGTAATGTTTCCTAAAACGAAGGACTGCTGATGCTGGAGATCGGAAATCAACGAAAACAGAAATCGCCGGAGAAACTCGGCAGGTTTGGCACCATCTGTGAAGAGAAAACGGAGTTAACGATCTGAGCCCAGTAGTCCTTCTTCAGAATACTGGCTTGAAGTGAAAACTATGTTGTTCTCTCTCCACAGATTCTGCCAGACCTGTTGCGTTTCACCAGCAATTTCTGTCTTTAAAGTTCCTTCTGAGCAGCATGCGTGATGATCGGTGCGCCAACACTGTTCACAGTATCGACTTCCACTTTTGAAGTCACTGCCATGCACGGACCTTGGAGTTCTGCACGGGAAAAATAGTTCAAGAGAATGCCTGGCAGTGTATTCTGTGTCCTCACTACTCGCTGTGTGAAAAAGATTTTTCTCACATTATCCTTACTTTGTTCGTACGCCACTTAAAATCCGTGTCCTCCGGTTCTTGTTTCTTATAGAGGTGTAAACAGTTTCTTTGTATCTACTTTATCCAGCCCAACCATGATTTTGAAAACTTCTATCAAATCTCCGCTAAACCTACTCTCCAAGGAGGACAGTCTCAACTTCTTTAATCTATGCTCATAACTGAAGTTTCTCATTCCTGGAACTATTCTATTAAATTATTTCTGCACTGTCTCCAATGCATTCACATCTTCCCTCTAATGTAGCACACTACTCTAGCTGAGGTCAAATAAGTGTCTTATTTAACATGTTGCCATAATAACAACTGCTTATATTTATGTAGGGCTTATCATGCAGTAAAATGTCCCATAGCATTTCACAGCTATTATTGTTGGATGATCAGCCACTGATCCAGAAGGGATCACTCTATTCGAGATACACAATTGGTTATATAGTTTCTATAAAAGTAAAATACTGAGGATGCTGGAAATTTGAAACAAACATCTCAAATGCTGGAGAGACCCAGCAGGTTTGGCAGCGTCTGCAGGGAGAGAAAAGCATTAAGCTTTCAAGGTGTCATAACCCATCTTCAGAGCCATTTCAGACTCAAAACATTGACTGTATTTTTCTCTCTTTCTGTTGTTGGTAATATAACCTGTGGGGCACCAGCCACCACCTCCTCGGGCAGTCCTTCAGGATCAAGTGGAAACCTTCAGCTCTGCAGAGCAACAACAAAACAAATACTTGGAGAGTGAGTATTCGTTTTGAGGGCTACGGGAACAAAAAATACTTAGCAAAACTTCTGAAGAAGGGCCATGGGCCTTGAAACTTCAACTCTATTTCTCTCTCCACAGGTGCTGTCAGACCTGCTGAGTTTCTCCAGCAATTGCTATTTCATCTCCCGTTCTTTGTTTTATTTAAAGAAATTATTGGAGCTTGTAGCAAAGGCAACCCACGTCAGCTTTCCTGCTCCTCTGATGCTGCTTGGCCTGCTGTGTTCATCCAGCTCTACACCTTGTTATCTCTCCCTCCTCTTTCTATTTATTTCTGAGCTCCCCTCTCCCACCACATTTCTGAAGAAGGGTCCTGATCCGAAACGTCAACTTTCCTGCTCCTCTGATGCTGCCTGGCCTGCTGTGTTCCTCCAGCTCCACACTGTGTTATCTCTGACTCCAGCATCTGCAGTTCTTGTTATCTTAGTGATCATTGTTGGGAACTTTAATCTTCATGTAGACTGGGAGAATCAAATTATCAAGAGAACTCTCGAAGATGAGTTTGTAGACTGTTTTTGTGACAATTTCTGGAATAATACGTTGTAAAACTTACTACTGATAAGATTAAATTTGAAATTGATGTACTTCAAATGCAAACACCAATCTGATCCTGAAGGCAATTACATAGATATGAGAGGAGATTTGACTAAGATTAATTGGGTAAATAGACTAAAAGGTATGGTAGTAAATGAACAATGGGAAATATTTGAAGAAAAATTTCAGTGTTCAACCAAAATACATCTGTTGAAAGATAAAAATTAAGCAAAGATGAACCATAAGTCAGGAAGTCAACTTCAAAGAACTGTAATAAGTCTGAGGATCCAGGAGTGTTTTGAAACCACCAAAGGGTTTTTAAAAAGATTTTTAACAAAGGGGAAAAAATAGAGAGTAAACTTGCCAGAGGTAACAAAGGAAGAGATTAGCTTATACAAATATTTGTTGTTCAGAAGCAGAGACATGATAAACGATCATGGGGAATGAGAATTTGCAGAGACGTTGAACATTTGTTTTGCCTGGTTGTATAATAGAAGACACAAGTTTTTTTTTTAAATTCTGGAAATGGACTTTCACCTTATGGCGAAAGATAGTGAGGAAATTAATATCAATAGAGAAAAATATTGGAAGAACTTGAAGGACTGAAATCTGGAAAATCACCAGGACCTGAAGACCTACACCCTACGGTTCTAAAAGAAATAGTTTCTGGTAACGTAGATATGCTAGCTATGATATTCCCAAATTCTTTCTTGTATTGGAAGTTGCCAAATATTAAACTGCTTTTCAAGAAAAAAAGGGAAAGAGAATGTTGGAACTAGAGACTAGTTAGCCTAATGTACAATTGTCATAAATATAATGGAATTATTCCTTGGGACGTCTTCGTGCTCATAGAAAAGCATAGTATGATCAGAGTAAGTCAACATTATTTTACTAAAGGAAAGTCTAGTTTGACAAATGTTTTGGGGTTTTTTGAGAATTAACTAATCAGATAAGACAGGGGAATCAGTTGATGTAGTACAACTGGATTTCAAAAAGGCATTTGATAAGGTGCCACGTGAGATTTATACACAAGATGAGGGCTCATGGAGTTGGGCCTGATAGGTAATGATGAAGTCAACATAGTCCCAGAGGACAAAAACAAAGTTGCTGGAAAAGCTTAGCAGATCTGGCAGCATCTGTGAAGGAAAAAACAGAGTTAACGTTTCGGGTCTGGTGACCCTTCCCCAGAACCAGAGGACCATTGGGCTACTCTCCAATCAGAGAGAGATAACTGGTAGTGGTTTAACCTGAGGGTCACTGTGCCTCAGGTGAGGGAAGAGTTGGGAAGGTGGGACCTTCATGGTGATCTCAGCTAGGATCCACGCTGTTGACGTCGCTTCTGCATTGCAAACTAGTCATCCACCCAACTGGATGGGAGCTAATTGACCCCCAGCAGGGCTAATACATGAGTGTAGCTATTGTATTGGTTAATGCACAGGAAGCAGAGAGTGCATACAAAGGTGACATTTTCAAGTTAGCAGGCATTGAATGGTCAAGTACCATAAGAGTCAGTTCTTCTGCCTCAGCTATTTATAGTCTACATTAAAGACTTTAAAGATAGCTTCCACCTAAGTGTGGGGAAGACGCTGAGGCATAAAAAGGCATAGACAGATTAAGTGAGTGGGTACCAAGTTGAAGGGTAGTTTATAAAATAAAGAAGTGTGAAGTTATCCACTTTGGTAAGAAGGATAGAAAAACAGAATTTTTTTTAAGTAAGTGTGAAACTTCTAAGTGTTAATATCTTAAAACAGACTTGGTTGTGCTTTTGCAGGATATACAGAAAATTAGTATGCAGATGCAGCAAGCAATTAGGAAGGCAAAAGGCATACTAGCCTTTATTTTGCAAGGATCTTAGAGTAATTGAATAAATAAGTCTTGTTACAATTATACAGGGCTTTGTCGCGTCGCCAATGGGGGTACAATGTGCAGTTTTGGTCTCTGCATTTGAGAAACAATATGTTTGCGTTCGAGCTAGTATAGCGGAGATTCGTTAAATTAATCCCTGGGATGAGGGGTTTGACTATAATGAGAGGCTGAGCAAGTTAGACCTGTAATCTCTGGGGTTTAGAAGAATGAAAGGTAATCTCATTGAAATGTGTAAGATTCTAAAGTTGCTTTATAGGGTGGAGGCTGGATGGTTGTTTCTATTGATTGGGGAATGAAAAGCACGGGCACAGTTTTAGGATTAAGAGTCTATTGTTTAGGTCTGAGATAAGAGTTTTCTTCAGTCAAAGGGCGGTGAATCTTTTGAAAGTTTCTTTTCCAGAGTGTTTTGGACCTTTAACGTTTGTCATCAAAAGATTCTCCTTCGGAACGGAGTTAGCTCTGTTTCGGTCTCCACAGATACAGCCACACCCGAGTCCCTCCAGCATTATCTGTTTTTATTTCCGATTTCCAGCGTCTGCAATATTTTTCTTTTATTTTGACAGATTTGGAGAGTGACGGGAAAATGGGGTTGAAGCGCAAGATCAGCTATGATCACATTAAATGCTGGAGCTGACTCAATTGGCTTCATAGTCTTCATAGTCTATTCCTGATCCTATTCCTTGTACTTTATAAAAATATTGTTTCTTTTGTTTCTATAATATACTACATAATATGCTATATATATTATATATAAAACTTCTGTATATGATTCTTTTCAATTGGGAGCTGATGTCTTAAGTGACTTCCTCCAATCTCCATTCTTTAGGATGATCTACGGATTGACGGTCGTGGATGTGAAGATTATAGACACACTGAGGTAGAAACAGATGTTGTGTCGAACACAAGTGGATCTGCTAGAGTGAAAATTGTAAGTATTAACTGATGCTGCCTGTATTCTAAATTGAAAAGTTTATCGCAACACTTCGTTTGAACATCAACTGCAGTTCTACTGTGATTCTGTGTTAATGGTGGAGGATAGGCCACCTGGATTTTTCAGATTGACACCAGTATGTGTGCTCATCCTGGATCAGCAATTTGAATTGTCATATCCACTTCCTAGTTGATTCCCTTGACCTCATAGTCACTTGACCCTTAATTGTGAAAGATGAAAATCTGACTGTTGGCTTGCTTCAGAGATTGTGCCAGAAGAAACCTGGGCCAGAGGAATCTTTCCAACAAAGCTGTGAAAAGATGGTGAGTTGAGAGTGTGAAGATAATCAGTTTGCCCACTGTTTACCTCAACATACTTTCACATTCAAACAGATGGCGATTGTAGAGGGTTGGCAGGCTAAGATTACCAGCAGCTCTGTCTGATTGGCTGTGTATTGAAGAGACAGTAGATACTGATGGATATGTAGAGTTAGGTCACAGATCAGCCATAATTTCATTGAATAATGAAGCAGGTTTGAGGGACCTAAATGGCTTACTTCTGTTCCTAAGAGAGACCTGAATACTAGTTCAATTCCCATGATGAAAAGCTGATAGAGATATCATTATATACAAAACTCTGTATATATCTGTACCTTATAGTACAAAACTCTGGTGCGGCCGCACTTGGAGTATTGCGTACAGTTCTGGTCACCGCATTATAGGAAGGATGTGGAAGCATTGGAAAGGGTGCAGAGGAGATTTACCAGGATGTTGCCTGGTATGGAGGGAAGGTCTTATGAGGAAAGGCTGAGGGACTTGAGGCTGTTTGCGTTAGAGAGAAGAAGGTTAAGAGGTGACTTAATAGAGACATACAAGATGATCAGAGGATTAGATAGGGTGGACAGTGGGAGCCTTTTTCCTCGGATGGTGATGGCTAGCACGAGGGGACATAGCTTTTAATTGAGGGGTGATAGATATAGGACAGATGTCAGAGGTAGGTTCTTAGAGAGTAGTAAGGGCGTGGAATGCCCTGCCTGCAAAAGTAGTGGACTCGCCAACTTTAAAGGCATTTAAATGGTCATTGGGTAAACATATGGATGATAATGGAATAGTTTAGGTTAGATGGGCTTCAGATTGGTTTCACAGGTCGGCGCAACATCGAGGGCCGAAAGGCCTGTAGTGCACTGTAATGTTCTATGTTCTATGTTTGATGTTCCATCAACATCTACTTCAAGCAGGACTTTACTGGAATATTGTTGGACTATCAAAGAGATCTTCTTTTAGACAATTACTGTTGTGGAAATTAGATTCAGGCGGCAAAGTGGTTTGGCACATTTGTCACGCTAGAGAAGTGTCTCCAATTGCGTGTATCATCAGAGGGAGCAGTGTTTTCTCATTAAAAGTACAACATCCACTAGATAGTGGAACACTGCCCGCTGAGATCCATTGAAGGAGACCCTTCATTTCTCCATTTGGCATCTCAGCAGGCGATCAAATAGATAATCAGTCAGACAGCCTGTTAAAACCTTTTCCTGTCAAATGAAAATGATGGTATTGGACCACTGAAACAGAGGTCAGTTTTACTTTCGAAGTGGTACAACAGACTCCCTCCAGCACAGAAATCATGTAACAGCACATCTTACCTTTCATTGTAGTTTTCAAAGACCATGTATAAAAATCAAGCGATTGGCAGTATGTAATTGCACTTGTTTGAAGAGTCAGTACAGTGTGATGGGTCGAATGACCTCCTCCTACTCTGTAACCATTTGGTGATTCTATGTTAAAGGAGCTGGAAGGATGATGTGATACAAATTCTCCTGTGGTGCAGACCAAAGTGCCACGTGGTACTATTGTTCCTTGTATAAGTGCAACAAACTGCATGGCACACCTGACAATGGATGGAAGCTGAAGGAAATTATAATTAAAATATAATTAAAACGACCAATGTTTCCTTGACAATCACACCGTCACCCTGAAAGTAGAAATTAAAATGATTCCTTTATTCTGTCGTGACAGTGAAGATAGATCTAACCTGATGCTGCTTCGAGTAGCTTTCCTGCATTCAATTGCATTCCAGCTTCCAACAACAACTCCATCTGTAGTATGTCTTGCAAGCCCTCATCTTGCTGTCAACAAAATTCAAGTTTGTCTCACAGGGTTGTTGGCTGTAAATTCATGATTTTAAACTTGTTTGTTACTTTTCGAGAGCAAGAATGAAGAAAAGACTGAGGCATGTTGGTTGCCTTCCTCAAACTCCAAGGTCCATATTCTTCAAACAGGAAGAGACTGGGCTGATTCCAAGACATTTATCTACTTTCAGAAATCTGCTGTTATGCTTTCAACATTTGAATTAAAATGTTTTATAGTGTCTAATACTGTTTACATGTTACAAGCTTCATTTATGTTCTGAGTAATCTCATTTTGCAAGATATTGATAAAACTTGAAATGAAGTTTGGAAGTCTGCGAGGGAACAAATTTAGAAAGTAAAAGCCTGTCAACATAATGCATAGATAAAAGTGTATTGTTTATTTGGCATCACATACAGGTGATTGTTGTAATCAGTTTGTGTGAAAAAAACACAACGAAGGTGTTCTCTTTGTTTCACAAAACGTGTGATGTTGGAGTGGATCCAGTTTTGCAGGGCTGTTCCTGAAGGTGCCAACCATAGTCTGTTACCATCCTCCAACTCGCACTCAGTTTACTTGGTCAGCAATGCTCTGAGCTTTGATGCAATTCGTTGCTTTGGAGAGTAGTTTCTTTTTTAAGCTGGGCCGAGGTCAAACATTAAAATGATGCATCATTGGAAAAGGCCATTCGGCTGATTGTGTTTGTGCTGGGGATGCCATTCTGATCTCACCCAAGGTCTGATTCAAGTTTTGTATTTGTTTATTCATTAGTCACTGCATTTTGAAGTGTAGTTCATTGGGCATTTTACAGACATTGTAATAGGAAGGATTTGTTTAGAAATGTGAATATTATTGGTAAATAGCACGACTAAAGGCTGGTAGCTGATTAAATGAACTGATTTCTTGCCTTTCTAGAGTGTTTGTATGAATGTAAATCAGGTAAGTAGCTGCAATAAGGCAGAAACTGGTTGAGAGGTTAGGCAAAGTTCATGAGGTAGATCCCCATTACAATCGAGTAGTTTTGGAGTATTAAGAATCTACTGAAACTGTTGTTGATTGTCGAAAAAACCCATCTGGTTCACTAATGTCCTTCAGAGAAGGAAATCTACCATCCTCACCTGGTCTGCCCTACATGTCACTCCAGACCCACAGCAATGTAGTTGACTCTGAATTGCCCTCTGAAATGGCCTAGCAAACCATTCAGTTTACCAATTGCTACAAAGTCTCAAAGAATTGAACCTGGAGGGACCACCAGGCATTGACCTAGGCACCAGAAAAGACAGTGGCTGAAACAGCCCTGTCAACCCTGCAAAGCCCTCCTCACTAACATCTGGGGGCTAGTGCCAAAATTGGGAGAGCTGTCTCACAGACTAGTCAAACAACAGCCTGACATAGTCACACTCACAGAATCATACCTTACAGACAATGTCGTAGACAGTACTCTCTGCATGCATCCTGTCCCACCAACAGGACAGACCCAGCAGAGGGGACGGCACAGTGGTATACAGTTGGGAGGGAGTTGCTCTGGGAGTCCTCAACATTGACTCCAGACTCCATAAAGTGTCATGGCTTCTGGTTAAACATGGGCAAGGAAACCTGCTGATTACGACGTACCGTCCTCCCTCAGCTGATTAATCAGTACTCCTCCATGTTGAACAACATTGGAGGAAGCACTGAAGATGGCAAGGGCACAAAATGTACTCTGGCTCAGGGATTTCAATGTCCACCACCAAGAGTGGCTGGGCACCAATACTACTGATCGAGCTGGACATAGCTGCTAGACTGGGTCTGCGGCAGGTGGTGAGGGAACCAAAAAGAGGGAAAAACGTACTTGACCTCATCTTTACCAATTTGCCAGCTGCAGATGCATCTATTCCATGACAGTATCAGTAAGAGCGACCACCGCACAGTCCTTGTGGAGACGAAGTCCCGCCTTCACATTGAGAATAACATCCATCATGTTGTGTGGCACTATCACCGTGCTAAATGGGACAGACTTCAAACAGATCTAGCAGCTCAAGACTGGGCATCCATGAGGCGCTGTGGGCCATCAATGGCAGCAGAATCGTACTTCAACACAATCAGTAACCTCATGGCCTGGCATATCCCCCACTCCACCATTACCATCAAGCCAAGGGATCAACCCTGGTTCAATGGAGGGCATATCTGAAGATCAGGTGTCAACCTGGTGGAGCCACCAAACAGGACTAGCACGCCAAACAGCATAAGCAACAAGTGATAGACAGAACTAAATGATCTCTCAACCAATGGCTCAGATCCAAGCTCTGCAGTCCTGTCACATACAGTTCTGAATTGTGGACAATTGGACGATTAAACAATCTACTCGAGGAGGAGGCTCCACAAATATCCCCATCCTCAATGGTAGAAGACCCCAGCTCATCAGTGCAAAAGATAAGGCTGAAGCTTTCACGGCAATCTTCAGCCAGAAATGCTGAGTGGATGATCCATCTCGGCCTCCTTCTGTGGCTCACAGCATTACAGATATCAGTCTTCAGCCAACTCGATTCACTCCATTTGATATCAAGAAATGTTTGGAGACACTGGATACTGCGAAGGCTACCGGCCCTGACAATATTCTGACAATAGTACTAAAGACTTGTGCTCCAGAATTTGCCGTTCCCTTAGCCAAGCTGTTCCAGTACAGTTACAACACTGTTATCTACCTGACAGTGTGGAAATTGCCCGGGTATATCTGTACATAAAAAGCAGCACAAATCCAACTAAACCAATTACCGCCCCATCAGTCTAGTCTCGATCATCAGTAAAGTGATGGAAGGTGTCACTAACAGTGCTATCAAGCAGCACCTGCTCAGCAGTAACCTGCTCAGTGACGCCCAGGTTGGACTCCGCCAGGGCCACTCAGCTTCTGACCTCATTACAGCTTTGGTTCAAACATGAACAATAGAGCAGAATTACAGACGTGAAGTGAGAGTGACAGCCCTTGGCATCAAGGAGCCCTAGCAAAACTGGAATCAATGGATATCGGAGGGAAAACTGTCCTGTGGGTGGAGTCATACCTGACACATAGGAAGATGGTCATGGTTGTTGGAGGTCAATCATCTCAGCTCCAGGACATCCTGGAGTTCCTCACATTAATGTCCCAGGCCCAACCATCTTCAACTGCTTCATCAATGACCTTCTCTCTATCAGAAGGTCAGAGGATTGCACAATGTTCAGCACCATTCATGACTCCTCAGACACTGGAGCAGTCTGTGTCCAAATGCAACAAGATCTGGACACTATCCAGGCTTGGGCTGACAAGTGGCAAGTAACATTCATGCCACACAAATGCCAGGCTCTGACCATCACCAACAAGAGACAATCTAACCACCGTCCCTTGATATCCAATGGTGTTACCGTCCCACTGTCAACATCCTGGGAGTTATCAATGATCAGAAACTCAACTGCACTCACCACATTAATGCAGTGGCTACAAGAGCAGGCCAGAAGCTAGGAATACTGCAGTGAGTAACTCACCACCTGACTCCCCAGAGCCTGTCCACCATCTACAAAGGTACAAGTCAGGTGTGTGATGGGATACTCCCCACTTACCTGGATGGGTGCAGCCCCAATAACATTCAAGAAGCTTGACAGCATCCAGGACAAAGCAGCCCACTTGATTGGCACTGCATCCACTCACTCCACCACCGATGCTCAGTAGCAGCAGTGCGTGCTATCTACAAGATGCACTGCAGAAATTCATCAAAGATCCTCAGACAACACCTTCCAAACCCATGACCACTTCCATCTAGAAGAACAAGGGCAGCAGATATATGGGAACACCACCTTCAAGCGCCCTTTCAAGCCACTCACCATCCTGACTTGGAAATATATCGCCGTTCCTTCACTGTCACTGGATCTAAATCCTGGAATTCCATCCCTAATGGCATTGTGGGTTAACCCACAGCAGGTGGACTGCAGCGGTTCAAGAAGGCAGCTCACCCCCATCTTCTCAAGGGCAATGAGGGACGGGCAATAAATGCTGGCCAGCCAGTGACACCCATTTCCCAAAAAAAATGATTAAATAAAGAAAAAGAATTAAATGCTAACTTTAAGAGGAGAGTTAGGGTAAAGTCTCAGAGTGTCTGGCTTTTGGTTTTCTTGAAACGAACCTGTAGCATTCTGAATCAGAGTTGCAAGCTAAGCTGCCATTTGAGAAAAATGGCATTTCAATATCAGTGGCTTGAGCCGAACTGGGTCAAGGAATGCTGTTGTGATGGAAAAAAAATCATTCTTTTTTAAGATGACTTTCAGCTTATTTCAGGATGAAAGAGAACATTGTTTTTAACCATTTCAGGATTGGGAAGGCTGACAACCTCTAGGACTAGTGCTGGACATTTTAATTTTGGGAAGAGCTATCTAGCATGCTTTCGGTTTTGCCATTGTAAATCAGGGAAGGGTTTGTACAGTCTATAACCCTATGTAACTAAACAGTATGGTAGTATGCATGGTAGCCGTTAACTGGTATCACCAGTGGAGAAATCAGTGCCAGCAATGCACTGAGCCAATTAAGGATATCAGGTATGATGCTCCTTCAGTCTACTACTGACAACGGTGCTAGCACACATAAATTATACAGCAAGGTTGACTGGAATGGGTTGAATCGAGCAATATGCATGTTAGTCCCATTGATTTAATTGTTAAAAGGCTGAGGGAAATGCTGCCTCTTACTATACGATTCAGAGTTGGTTTGTTGGAGAAATAAAAAGCCTATTTGGTACCTATTTTTCACAGGGTCACACAGATATTCTCGTAGGTGTTAAAGCTGAAATGGGCACACCTAAACTGGAGCGACCAAACGAAGGTTTTTTGGAATTCTTTGTGGACTGGTAAGATGCTTGTCAAATCTCAGATGTAAAGGGATAAAGTGGGATTGATATGAGACCTCAAGGCAAGCTTCTTATTAATCCACTTATTAATCATATTAATAAGGATCAGTCTGAAAAGGTGCGAGAATCACGAGAGGCAGTAAATAAATCCTCAGCTTTGTACAATTGTTTGTTACCTCTGGACTTGACAATTTGAATACATGCCTGATAGCCCTCCTATCTCTCACCATCTGTGAACTTGTAGCTATCACAAAACCTGCTTGTTCCCAAACTCATACCAAGTCTCTTTCCCCATCATCGCTCTGGATATTGACACCCTTGGCTCCTGCTAAACAATACTTTGCCTTTAAAATTCTCATCCTTATTTTCTAATTCATCCATGGCATTGCCCCACCCTATCTCTGTAATGTCCTCTAGTTCCACATTCTGAGATAACTGCATGTCTAAATTCAGGCCTCTTAAGTGTCCTCAATTTTAATTGCCCCACTGTTGATGTTCATGCTTTCATTTGGGGCCTGGGTCCCAAGCTCAATTCTTACCTAAACCTGTATCCCTCTACCTCCCCTACTTTAAAAATGTATTCTTTGGGATGTGAGCCTCATGGACTAGGCCATTTTTTAATTGTCCCTGAACTGTGTGGTTTGCTAGGCCACTTCAAAGGATAACCACGAGTCAACCACATTACTGTGGGCCTGGAATCACATGCACAGATCAGGTAGGCCTGGCATATTTCCTTTCCTGAAGGATATTAGTAAGCCAGGTGGGTTTCGAGAACAATTAATGATCACTGTCGTGATCTGAGCCAAGTTTATTAATTGAATTTGAATTCCACCAGTTACTGTGATGGGATTTAAACCTATGTCATCAGACCAATAGTCTGGGCCTCTGGATTACTAGTCGAGTGACATTACCACTGTACCACCATCATCTTTTTTTTCTTACCCCTACAACCAAGCTTTTGACCCTTGCATCGTGTGTGCAGCAGTCTCAAGTGTTCCTACAAAGCACCTTTCAGTATAGCTGAAAATTGTTAGCAAGCGGTAGATGGGCTTAACAGAATTAAATAGCACTTGCATTATATAGTGTACTGAACATGCATGTATGTGAATTGTAATTCTATGAATAATCCACTGGATGGTGCTAGTTGAGCACTTTCTAATGTTGGTTTATTTTACAATAAGTGAGACTGAAATGAAAGCTGGGATCAGCTGGAATTTTTCTCTATCTACTTTAAAGAGTTGACTGATAAGCACAAATGCAGTATTTTCATCATGCCTGCACACAATGTTGTTGAGTTATTTTACATGTGATTTTGCTTGTTAGTTCTGCCAATGCAACCCCTGAGTTTGAAGGGCGAGGAGGAGAAGATCTGGGCACAGAAATCGCCAACACCCTGTACAGAGTGTTTGATAACAGCAGTACCTTGGGGTTGAAGACACTGTGTATTACTCCCAGAGAACACTGCTGGATCCTCTATGTAGATGTACTGGTAGGTTTTCTTCAGGAAGCAGAAAGATCTAGTCACAAAATATAGAAAACTTTGAAAGAAATGTTTAGTTGATGTCAGATTTGGGATTTAAAGACAGCAGTTTATTGCAGGAAAGGAACACCATATAATTCAGCTTGCCAGGCGTTGAACAGTTTGATATTGGCCTTGCTGTTTTTTTTTAAGATTAGAAATCGTTTATTTTAACAGGATGATGTGTGTCATGCAAAGTGAGACAGCTCTGTGGCAGTCACTTTTTGGTTAGCTTTGAAATTATGCTGTCTGATATCTCAGCAACCTCTGGGAATGTATGCCACAGCTGCTGAACGATAACTAGCATGACACATGATTTAGCTGTGGACACAGTTGACCAACTGTATTGCCTCAACTGGAGCCAGTGCACCAAATTGCCTGACTTGGTCAAACACAATGGGTTCAGCAACAAAGCTGAATGAGAATGAGAATTATTGGCTCCCAACCCTGACTCCCTGGAACCTGTGTGTTCCCATGGTGACTGATTCTACAAAAAGGTATTTAGCAATTTCAGCTTAAAGCTTGTATCCTGGGAAAAATGACACTTTATTTCAAAGGACCATGTACACCCAGCCAGAGAATTGATACTTTATATAACGTATATACCATCATTCTAACCATGAAGTTGTCACATCCAACCAGTAACATTTAATTTTCTGTGGCAATATTCAAATAAAAGGATAAAACACTGCCAGCAAATGTCAACATCTTTAAAACATACGGGTTAGTTCCACAACCTCTAGGTAAAGCCTGAACATTAACGTACTGAGAGTTACTATTGATCAAAACCTAAAACTGTCCTGTAAATTCTATGGCCTCAAGAGTAGGTCAGAGGCTAGGATTGCTGCATCATGTAACTCACCTCCTGACTCCCAAAGCCTGTTTTCCATTGACAAGTCACATAAGGAGTGTGGTGGTATACCCTCCATATGCCTGCATGAGTGCAGCTCCAACAACACTGAAGAAACTTAACACCATCCAAAACAAAGCAATCGGTTTATTTTGCACTTCATCTCCTTCCTTAATAACTCACACTTCCTTCACCACTGACACACAGTGGCAGTAGAGTGTGTCTTCTGCAGGATACACTGCAATAATTTCTCAGGGGTCCTTAGAGAGCACCCTTCAAAACCGTGACCTCTACCATCCAGAAGAATAAAGGCATTGGATGCACGGGAACACCACCTGAAAGTTCGCCTCTTAAGTCATACACCATCTTGACTTGCAACTATATCACCTTTCTCTCAGTATCGCTGATCAGAATCCTGAAACTCCCGCGCCCCCCCCCGACAGCATTACGGGTTTGTCCACACCCACATATCTGCAGCAATTCAAGAATCTGGTTTACCAGCACCTTTCAAGGACAGTTAGGGATTGGCAAGAAATGCTGGTCTAGCCAGTCATGCTCACTTCCCCTGCAGTAATTTGAAAAGGAGAGAATGATAAGAATTATATGTTTATCTCAGGATGAGAAGTTCAGAATCCATACACAAGCATTGGGCTGAACTTATAGACAGTGGTTCATGTGTAGTAGTACATTTGTGAATCTGAAACATTTTTTTGGGCATGCAAAATCACATCAAATTTATAATTTTTTTATATATTAAAATGCATTCTTAAAATAAATGTATATGAAAGTATAGTCTTTATTTCTGCAGTAGATCACAGATATTTTGTGTGTGAACATAACATTCACACAGTTAGTGTGGCTTACTATTATAACTAAAAAGCTTAGGCATTCTAGTGTGCATTCACATATATTCACTTCAACTCATTGACAAGTATCGTTGTGATGTGAGCACTTCTAATCTGTTCTGACCTGCTTTTGGTTAATTTGTGCAATGCAGTAGCTTTTTGCATGTTTTTCATGTGTTTCCCCATCAAAGGAGAATATGCTAAACAAGACTTTTTCACTCTCCTTTACAACCTGACAATGTGTTTTGGACGACTTTCCCAAGACTAAATTTTGAAAGGGCTAGGCCATAATGTACAACTTCTGTTAACTTTAAGTTGCCTGTTTTTCAGTTGTTGGAGTGCGGTGGAAACCTTTTTGATGCGATCTCTATTGCAGTTAAAGCAGCACTTCATAATACTAGGTAAGAATTGGCTTCGTGTATTTTGGGTCCTGGGCAACATTCCCTCTATACTGCTAGGCCACACAACCACCCTTAGGTCTGTGCAGCAGCAGAAAAACAATTGGAGGGAAGATACATCTTGGGGACATTGCCAAAAGCAGTTTAGATCCCCAGTTATTAATAAACATAGCACCACTCGCATTGAATGAACGTTTGTGAATTTTGTTATATTTTTGGACTATAGGCTGTGCCCTCTTAATGACATCTGGGATATAATCATGCATATAGTATCTTCAGCCTTATGGGGACAAAAAGCACTGGGCATTTATGCTTTAAGAAAGATATGAGTTGTGCTTTGGAGAGAGTGAAGAAGAGGTTTGTAAGAATTTTGTGAAGTTAGGCTGGAGATTTTGGGACTTGTTACCTTGAAAAGAAAAAGGCTAAGATTTGTTAGAGATATTCAAAGTCGTAAGTGGGTTGGACAAACTAGATAGGGAGAAACTGTTCTCTTACATAAAAGCACCAAGAATGAGAGGGCACAGATATAATTTACGAAAGATGCAAATGTAATGTAAGAAAAAAATATTTTCACACAAAGGATATAGGCTAAATGCTGTCAAATGGGACTAGATTAATTTAGGATGTCTGGTTCGGAATAGACGAGTTGGACTGAAGGGTCTGTTTCCGTGCTGTACATCTCTATGACTCTCTAACAAGCAGTTATGATCTGGATCACACTGTCTGGTCGTGTGGTCGAGGTAGGTTCATTTGAGGCATTCAAGATGATTATTTAAATAGGAACAATATTCAGGGTTATGGGTAAAAGGCAGACAAATGGCACTGAGTCATTGTACTCTTTCAATGAGCTGGTGCAGACACGGTGGACTGAATGACCACTTTGTGCATCATACTTCTGTGATACTGCAAGAGCACCAGAATCATTATCTACGTAAGAACATTCATCAAGGTCAACGTAACAATCCTTAACTCCATGTCTGGGTTATTGCTTTGTTTATGCCTGCACGATAATGGTGTCACATAAGCAGTTGGGACCATATTAACATTTACATTGTGATTCATGATTCGGATCAGCAAGGACCACAGAGCAAATTAATTAACATTTTTTTTTTAAAAAATCATAAAAATGAACTTGACTCATAAGTCAAGGGTTGGTTGTTTACCCTCTCTTCGTCTTACCTTATCAAGACGACTTACTGTACTTTCTCTTCCTTGTGTGTTTAGCACAGTTTCTCTGATATAGCTGTGTTTATGAACTGGCAACACTTAAAATAGCAGCCTTCAAACTTTAAAATATTAGTTGCTACTTATTTGTACATTTTGGGTTGCAACAACAGTTTGGATATGCCTCAGAAATACAACATCAACTTGCTGACTATAAACTTACAAGACTTAACATCAATTTGAACCAGTAGGATTAATTTAGGATTAAATTTGATTAAAATAAGAATGTTAATGAATTAACAGTGTTAAATATCCAGTCTATTGGATGATTTAAAATCAAATGCTTGTAGTTGGGGATATCTCCAGAACTTTGTCGATATTGTGCTTAAGAGCTGCTGTGGATGAATTTGTAGCTTTTGTGTTTCTCTGAAATGCCAGAATAATGAACATTCACATGGATGTCTGATATTTATTCCCCCTGGATTCTTGGCTCCTGGTTACATGTCAGTAGTGCTTGCTGAGCCAGCTGATTGAAATCTCACCTTCCTTGATCTCAGACAATATGTCAGTCTGTTATACTTGTGTGAGTCCTAACCCACCCGCCACCCCCACAAAAAAGCTGGGGTTTATGATTTTACAAAGACATGTAAAAGAACTCCCTTTAGAAGTACTGGTGCAAAGAAGTTGGCTGAAAGACTACTTCTATACAAAGAGGAGATAAAGTCGAACATAACTACTGTCACTTTATTTTCTCCGTCCTTCCAAGAATTCCGAAAGTCCGTGTGCTCGAAGATGATGAGGGTGCCAAGGAAATTGAGCTCTCTGATGATCCATATGACTGCATTCGACTCAATGTGGAAAATGTACCTTGCATCATCACTTTAAGCAAAGTAAGATAAACTTACATGCTTCTGTGTACAAATATCTTGCACAAAACCTTTTAACTACATGACTTCTTGCTAATTGCACATAAAAATCGTATTGAAATACAGCTGTTATCTTCATGTTTAAGTTGTTATGTAATTGAAACTATTATAAACAACTTCTAAGGAACCATTTGATTAAAAATTACCATCATTAAATTACTTATTCAAAGTATTGCAGTACTATTTTTTTGAAAAGTAGGTGGCCTGTGGAAGATGTTTTGCCAGTTTAGAGTTGTAATCTTTGAGGTATATGCATTACAGGGACTGATTTCAGCTAGTTGCTTTAGCTTTTTCAAAAAGAAAAGCTGTTCTCCTTTTAAAAAGGTAAATAATGAGGATGATTAATGAGGCTTTGTTTGAAAGATTTGAGAATGAAAGTGAACAGTCTTCTGGGTATTTAAAAGCCTTGAATGGTCAGGTAATGCAGGACACCATAAAAGTGAGCAGTAAGCGCCATGTGTCAGGTTTCAGTTGAGGTATTCAGGAGGATATTGGATGATTATTTACATAGAAATGGTGTGCACAGATGTGGGGCAAAGGCAGGCGTTTGGGACTAGGGAATAGAATCACACAGGCATGCTGGGCTGAATGGCCTCTTGCTGCACTGTAACAATTATGTGAAAATTGAATGAGCGGATGTGCGTTTTTTACCTTTCCGTTAAATTAATGTAAGCTGCAATGTTAAGTTGATCTGTCACTGTTATTAATGCCTTCATACACCCCTTGTTTTGATCAGGCCTCTGCCAAAACCAACCCAACTAGAAGTTGTTTAGAGTCTATTGTATAGTGTATCTGTAAGGGAGAATGAGACACCTGTGAACAAAGGTGACAAAAGTGTCCCTACCCATTAGTATCAGGAAACAGGAGGGACATTTTCAAGCATGTCCGAAATGCCATACACATGAAAGCCACTAGATGTCTTCAGCGCTCAGAACCCAACTTTACACTTTACTAAGACTGCTTCATTTAGCAACACCTATTGACCAAAAAAAAAATTCTCTGCCAATATTTAATTTTCAGAACAGAAGAAATTTAGGAAGTTTAATTTTTAAAATTCCTTAGCCCAGAAAAGGCAGCATCGAAATGGCTTTGCTTCCTCGTACTTTTTTAAAATATTTTTTGTTTATTTTGTAAGAGATTTCCATGTTTTCTGCAGACGTCATTTGATACTTAGCATAATATTTACAGAAAGAATCATCTATAGTGATTCAGTTCTGTGCATTAAAGTGAGAGTTGCTACTTAGTATTACAGCACAGAAGGGGCTTAGGCTCCTGAAAGCATTAGAACAAACTTTCCAAGCTTCCCAAACTTTATCCAGTTGTTGCTCTATTTTGATGTTTACAAGTTGCCATGAGCCCATACCTTTGAGAGCAGTGGGCAGGGGAGAAGCTGTCTAATCCAGATTATAAAGCACCAGCTTTTCCATTAGGGTGATGTGGGCAGGTTTTAAGGCTCCAGGATTGCAAATGATCCAAAGTCACTATACAAAACAAAAACTCTGATCTGGAAGGGCCGCGCAGCTGTCAGCACTTAGAGGTATGAGATAGCCACTGCTGCATTGGAACTGTCAGCCCCAAATTTCATTTGGTGTTCCCACTGGTGGTCGTGATCTACAGGACTTCCCAATCTGCATTAGATTAAAGGAGGTAGCATCAAGGATAGACCAGGTAGCCTCCTTCACCATTCAGTAAGATCACAGCTTCCAAACCCTGGCTGCCTACTGCCTAAGAACCTGTTGATCTTCATCTTGAATCTACTCAATGACTGAGCAACCACAACCTTCTGGCTAGAGAATTCCCAGGATGCACAAGCCTCTGAGTGAAAAAAATCACTCCCCATCTTTGTCCACAAGAGCCAAACACTTAACCTGAGGCTACGATCCCTTAATTTAGACTCTTCAGCTAGAGGAAGCAGCCTCTCTGTATTGAGTTAGATATATCACTGATGTTCCTTGCTTTCCACAGATTGGTCACAGGCATGTAGTCGATGCCACTTCGCAGGAGGAAGCGTGCCGCATGGCCAGCCTGCTGGTTTCCGTCACCAGCAAAGGGACCATCACTTGCTTCAGGAAAGTTGGAGGAGGCAGTTTGGATCCAGAGAGTATCTTTGAAATGTTAGAGGTATGAATCAAGTCTTTAATTAAACGATTGGGTTTGGGGTCAGTCACCTTTTCTTTCATTTCTTTATATGTTGTTTTTGGTTTTTGACATTGCCATTGAAATCCTGCCGCACAATTTGATTGTTGTTGGCTAATCAAGCTTTGTTTGTGCATAAAGATTAACAAAATCACTGCTGTTGGTTTCTGCTATATCATTTGCTATTCCCTAAATGAAGGGCTGACTGGTTGACCAGCAGGACGGCTCATTTATTTTGCTACGTGTTGTGCAAGTATGTTACAGGTAGAAATGTCTGCACATACCTCCTCCCTCCCCTTTTCTGAAAGTAATTCACTCACATTTTGTAGCTCTTTTCAATCCACATGTGGATCATGTCACACCAGTCCCATAATGGTTTTGGTATTTGAACAGGCTGACTGATGGAAATGTGCAACTACAGGCAACCTCCATCATCAAAGGAGCACTGTCAGCAGGTGTTTTACAGTAGCAAATATAATGATTTCCACTATTGCTTCTTCCACTCAACTGAGTCCCCCCAGTGCAGTCTCCCTGCCTGCCTCCCATTCCCCCAGTTAGTGTTTCAAACTTTTACCTGTTTCTCTTTGACAAATCTGAACTCTAACATGGTGAGTTAAAAATGAAGCACAATTTGTTGCTCATGTGAAGTAACACTTAGCAATGCTGGGTAGCCCTTTGTTTCTGTCACTGAGTGAGTAACAGCATTGGTCATGACAAACATGCATTCTGCTGTCTCTGCATACAACATTCATGGTGGTAATGGTGAATTTGGCACTCCACTTGACAGCTGAAGGCATCCAGTTTTTTTTTGTTCCAACTTGTAAGCTCAATTTGCCAGTTTTTGTTTGCAGAATGATCAACATTCCTTTCAGTGTCACTTTGATTTGGACATATGCATCAAGAGGCTAACATAATTTGGTTTCCTGCATAATTTACAAATTAGTATAGCAGTCCAACTCAATATTTCCACCTTTGAAATTCTAATCACCTGCACAGTTTAAAAAGATCCCTACACCCTAGCTTCAGATTAGTACTTAGAAGCCCCTGATCAAGACTGACGATGTACGTTTGAACATTGGAAGTAAATGCATGTTTTTAATGCAGTGAAAGTGATTGGGAAGTGGAGATTACGGATTCCCTTCATACGATTCTATTCAGATGCTATGATGTGAATTAAACCCTCCCACACTCAGTTGAATATTGACATATTGGAACTGTTACTAACAAAATGTCATTGTACAAAAGATGCATTAGGTTATAGCTCGAACAATACTTGAGGACAAACCACCAGCTATTTAAATGACATTAGAGAACGTTTGGTTTATTTGGTGGGCATTTGTATTTATGCTTGTGGTGAGACCATGGGAGTAAAGACAGCTCAGGGAGAAGGAGCTACATGCAGGCCTCGTTGAGCTTGAGGAATTTGACCTCCGTGCACCGCCTGGAATGAGATCTCTCTTCCTTGATATTCCTCCCTTGATCTCACTTGACCAATCAGTCAACCTCCTGTAATGCGAGATTTATAATTGTGTTTAATATCTGGTTGGGATTAAGGAGGTGGGTTTTCACATAAGCTATGGAACTTCCGATGCCAAAATAGAAAATCGCTCCTAAATACAATTTTTTACACTAGGTTCAGTTAATCTTCCTTATGCTCTTTTTCCCTCTGCTCTCCCCCTTCCCCACCCGCCCCCCACCTTCCCTCTCTACCCCCACTACTCCCTCTTGTTACCCCACTCTTCCCCAACCATCTCCCTCTTTCCCCTGTTCCATCTCTGCCCCTCCCACTCTCTTTCTCTTTCCACCTGTACCCCTCTCCTCCTCTCCCACCCTCTCCCTCACAGACAGGAAACAGAGTTGGAAAAGCTTTGCATATATCTTTACAAACCGCTTTGGAGAAAGAAGAAAGTTTAGGAAGGAAACGTCAAAAAGTTGGATTTCTTGGTTGACTTCTGCACTGTACTTATTTTCTAATAAAGATTTATTTAAAATGTTCTGTGTGGCTGGAGAGAATTCACTGTATTTAATTTGGAATGTTTATATTCTTTCCCAGTAATAAATTGCACATTATAAAAATTGCAACCTATGTCTATTTCATACAGTAATTTGGAGGCAAATTGCCCCCATGATTGGAAAGTGTTGTTAAATATACTTGCCTCTTGCTGAAAAAGACATCTTGCTTATGAAACAAGGTTAAACTGCTCGACTCACAGGAGCAGTCATAGTGATAGTGCCAGCATTATTTTACTTCCTACTCTTGTCCCTGTGGACTGCAGTTTCTCCATCTTAAGGATAATCTTCAGTTTAGAATCTGTGACTCAAGCTTGTGTTGAAAATCCCCAAAATATTTTCATTATCTTGGTTAGTACCGGCTTGTTAAACTGAGCTCTTGTGTCATAGGATGTTCTAATTCACATTGCCACTCAATCAAGACTCATTTCTGCGACTAATTGATCTTCTCTCATAGTGAGAATACTCCTTGCGTATTGAAGATTACATCTGGTGTCTATGGAGAATGTGGTATTTTGTATTCTTTGATGCATTCTATAAATTAAATAGCCCAATTATGCAAGTTATATTAATGCCTACCTCTAATGATTCCTTTTGCTCTCAGTCTCTTTCCTCTTATCCTTATTCCCTCTCAATGTTTGCCTCACACCTCTATCTCTCGTGTCCCTTTCTCCATCTTATATCCTGCTTCCTGCCTTGCACATGCATCCCCCAACTCTTTTGTAATCAGACAAGAAACTGCATTCAGAAAGCTTTACATAAGTCATTGCAGGCCACTTTGGAAACAGAAGAACGTTTAGGAAGGAATATTTTCTTTGACTCTGACTCTGAGTGGGGCTGGCACGTCCTTAAGTGTACTATGTCCACCTTATTATTTGGAATGCACCTAGTTAAGGAATAGCATGACCCAGAGCCAGTAACATTGAATTTATTAATGTCATGTCAATAATTCCATGTATCATTTTCTGTAATTACCAATATTCAGAAGATTGCCTGAGCATAATTATATGAATATATTAGAATATAATTTTGTCTAATTCTTTATCAGCAGTTTAAATAGACAACAAAAGCAAAATTTAGTTGCTGCTAAAAACAAAGACTTACACCCAGATAGCTTGGGTGTGTTGCTGGAAAGTATCTCCCTTTGTTCCTGTCTATACATCTTCGCTGTGTGTCCAGTATAGCATCACTTTTCCAATGAGGATAATTGAGAGTTTGTGTAAAATCTTTGTGTAAAACAGTCATTCAAATTTACTGAACCCTATTCCATCTGTATCAACTGAAAAGAGCATTTACATAGAAAAAAAGGAGCTATAGTAGGCCATTCAACCCACAAACCTGCTACGCTATTCCATATGACTGATCCTTTACTTCAACGCCATGCTCCTGCACTCTCCCCATACTCCTTGATGCCTTTAGTGTCTAAAAATCTATTTCTTTTCTTAAATATATTCAGTGACTTGGCCTTTGTAGCCTTATCTGGCAAAGAATTCCACAGGTTTCTAAGCAAAGTAGAAACTAGGAGCAGGTGTAGGCCATTTGGCCCTTTGTAGTCTGTTCTGCCATTCAGTATGATCATAGCTGATCCTCCATCTTAATGTCATGTTCCCATTTTCTTTCCACATCCTTTTGATGACTTCAATATCAAAAAAATTATCTGAAGAAATTTGTCCTCATTTCAGTCCTAAATGGCCTACTCCATATGGTGAGACTGTGACCCCTGATTCTAGGCTACCCAGCCAGAGGAAACATTATCTCTGCACCCCATCAGTCCAGTACTGTCAGAGCTTTATATGTTTCAATTCTGTCATTCTCCCAAACTTCAGTGCTTACAGGTCTATTTCCCCTAATCACTTCTAATATGACAATCCTGCCGTTCCAGAAATCAATCAGTTGGAGCTTTGTTGCACTTTCTCAATGGCAAGTGTATTCTCTCGTAGATAAGGATGACCAAAACTGCCAAGTAATTGTGCTGTTATACCACGAATACCTTGGTTTCATCAAAGCCCTGTAAAGCTGCATCAAGATTTCCTTACTCCTGTACTCAAACCCTCTTGCAATGAAGGCCAGTATACCATTTGTCTTCCTAACTGCTTGCTGCACCCGTGTGCTTGTTTTTAGTCACTGTATTAGGACACCAAGGTCCTTTTGTGCATCATCGTTTCCCAATCTATTACCATTTAAGCAATACATTTCCTTTCTGTTTTTCCGATTAAAATGGGAGACTTCAACTTATTCACGTAGTTACCCACTTACTCAATCTGTTCCTCACCTCACCTCTCAGAATCCCATCCAGCTTTGTATCATTAGCAAATCTGGAAATATTACTCAATTTCATTATCCAATTTGTCAATATATTGTGATTTGCTGGGGACCAACACTGATCCTTGGCATTTTTTAAAAATTCATTTCCAGGATAAAGATATTGCTGACGAGGACAGCATTTATTGTCCATCCCTAATTGCCCAGAGGGTAGTTAAGAGTTAACAAGATCAGTTTTTCCCAACAATCATCAATAATGCAAGGTCATCATTAGACTCTTAATTCCAGACTTTTATTGGATTCAAGTCAGGTCCCCAGAACCATTTTGAGAGTCTCTAGATTAATGGTCCAGTGAAAATACCACTAGGCCAGTGCCTTCCCAATAACCTACTTCCTACTTCGAGAAAGACCTCATTATTTCTGCTCTGTTTCCTGAATGCTAACCAATTCCCATTCCATGCCTGTATATTACCTACAATCCTATGTGCTTTAATTTTGCGCAATAAATTCTTGTGGGACTTTGTCAAAACCTTTCTGAAAATCCAAATGCACTACATTTGCTAGTTGTCCCTCACTTATTAGTTACACCATCAAAAAAACTCTAGTACTTTTATTAAAGATGATATCCCTTTGATAAATCCATGTTGAAGTTGTCTAGACCAAAAAAAATCAAAGAACTATGGATACTGGAAATCTGGAATAAAAACAGAAATTGCTGGAACATCTCAGCAGGTCTGGCAGTATCTGTGGAGAGAACTCGAGTTAATGTTTTGGGTCAGTTCATTAATTGTTCGGGAACAGTTCTGAAGGAAGGTCACTCAACTCGAAATGTGAACTCTGATTTCCCTCCACAGATGCTGGCAGACCTGCTGAGATTTTCCAGCAATTTCTCTTTTTGTTTTTGTTTAGTCCTATTGATAATGTCATTGTACCCTGTTATCACACCGTTTCTAATAGAGCTCCAGTATTTTCTGTACTAATGATGTTAGACTAACCGGCCTGTAATTCCAGTTTCTTCCTTTTTTAAATGATGGAGATTCATTTGTCATGCTCCAACCTGCGGCGACTTTTCTAGGATGCACAGTATTTTGGAAGATAATAAAGTATCTGTTATTTACATGGCTATCTTCTTTAGCACCTTGGGATGTAGACCTTGTGGCCTTAGAGATCTAGTATCAGATTTCAGTCCCACAAATTTCTCCTCTGTCCTTTATTTATGGAAACTAATTTCCTTTAATTCCTCCTCGCTAGACCATTTCCTTCGCATTTTTGCGAAGCTATTTGCGTCTTCTGTGAAGGCAGAACTAAAATAGTTGTTTAATTGCCATTATTTCCTTCTCCATTATCATTTCTCCCCACTTCCATTTGCTAACGTAGTAAAATGATCATTTTACTGAGTGGACTCCTTAGATCTTCCTGCTATTCAATAGCTACAGTGACATGCCAAAATAAATGAACTTATGACTCCTCAATTTCACAGGATTGTTTATTAGTATTCCCAATCTTTGTAGATCAAGTTGAGAAAGTATTTTGGGACTAGTGAAGATCATTTGTTGACCTTCAAATTCATTTTATTTATAAATGTGACGCTCAATGCTTTGTGAGTATTTACTTTGAACTTAATGTCAAAATTCTGGGAGATATTTTCTGTGGACTCTATAAACATCTCCGAAAAGACAATGTTGAATTCTGAACAAACAGCAAAGTTCTGAACAGGATGTTGGAGACCCTCAGTAAGGCAGGTAGACTCTAATAAGAATTGTGCTGAGGTGGGTTTTTATGAGAAACAACATCTCCTGTTTTCTCAGCAAATGTTGTTTGATTTGCTGAGAGACTGTGGTGTTCCCAGTTTTGAAATCTAGCTGGGTAATGGATTTAAGGTGTATCCTTATCAGTGGAAAGGAAAGAGAGAGTGGCTGATCCAATCAGACTTGCAGTAAATTGGAGAACATTTTTATTTATACGATAGAACAGTCTCATTAAATATTTAAGGGTTATTAATGCCAGCTAGAAACTTGTCTTCAAATATATTAATAAGCATATTGGGAATGTACTATGATAACAAGGTGTAGAGCTGGATGAAC